GGAAGCGGACCTGCTTTAAAGTTTATGGAAGATTTTGCCTTGCAGCCTTTGCTGCTGTTTCAACTAGCGATAAAAAGGGCGAAGAATGACTTCAACCCTTGAATTCTTTTCTGACAGATCCCCTTCGATTGCCGCTGTAAGTCCGACTTCAGAGACGCGAACCTGGAGTGTGTTTCAAATCTTGTCGGGAGCTGCGTTTGATAGCATCCTGCGTTAGCTCATCTCCCAGGCACGGCAGGAAATTATTTATGCGCGTTACCTCATAACGAAAACATGGCACCCGGCTGGGATGAGGTCATGACAGCACGCTTGAAGGACCGTGCACTGCTGACAAGTGAACGGACGTTTTGATTGGCTTTTGTCGAGATCAAACAATAATTCCCTTCAATAGGTTCGTATCGGACGCCGGATCCTGTCAAGCGGCCGTAAATTCGTCAATTTTCTGGCTCGTTGAAGGCTCTTCAGGCCTATGGAAAGTTCAAAACTATTGGGACCCCTCTTTGTTTTACGTGGCGCGTTTTCCAGTGCCCAAGGAAAAGTTTATTGCCTTGTTTGAGGAGGAAAAAGTTTCAAGTCCTGAAGAAGGATTCGCTTTGATCGAAGACGTTCGAAGATCAGAACAGACAGGAATCCCAAGTTCTGGGACGAACAAAAGTGAGGAAATTATGTGTAACGTAGAATAGGTCTCGCATTTAATCAGAAAGTCACTCGATTATACGAATGTCTTTGGTGGCTTTCAAATAAGATTTTCTCTTTAATTGCGTTGCACGAGCAACTTGATAAATCGATCTATTTTTTACGTTATTGGTTCTCTCTATAACAACATAATTATTTTTAAAGTTTGTGCTGCATGAGCAGGAAACTAGTGATTATTGAAAGGATAACAATCTTCTTGTGAGGCTAAGAGGACCCATTTAAAGACAGGCTAAAAACGACGACTAAAGCTTAAGCTGATACTTGAACCACTTTTCACAAGAGAGTAAAGAGCCTGTTTGTTTCGCTTTATTTTGAAGTCTCAAAGGAGTATGTAGAAATTTTTGAATACTTCCAAAAATTAAATTATTCTCGATTACCCTGTAAAGTACTTATGCCTTAATCGCTACATTTGCGATTTGATCCTTTTATTCAGTGCTTTGAGAGAATTTTAGCGTATAATTAAATGAGAACAGTTGCGTTATATTACTAATCTGACATCAGCAAGTTATAATTCGAATCAATCGAGAAACGAAACTATTACACAGTTTTCAAGTCCTGGAAAAATATCTCCGACCAGCTAATCAAATATTATCTGGAAATGATAAAATGTTTTGAAATCAGTTTACTTTTCTGAGATGTTGTTTATTTTCATCAAAGCAATCTTTTTGGTGGTCTATTGTTAAAAGTTAATCAGATGAACGATCTTTAGTTACTGTGGTTTGAAGACACGCTGATAGAGCGGCTCTTCAGTGATTGATACTGGATCCTGCTTTTGAATAGGATATGCAATCGAAAAACTGTCTAAAGTCGTGTCAGGTTTCATTTAAGGCGACAGATTCTTTGTTACCGTAGTAAAATTCGATCCTGTGAACTGTGTGTTATCCTAAGTACCTGCAACAGGTACCAGATCTATTTACTTGTTTCGAGTAAATATGTCCAAAATGTCAGCATGTCCTTGAGGGTCTGTGTCATTATGGTTGATCCATATTATCACGCGTCTGTTACTAGCTGAGTGCGTGGAATAGACTAGCAGAATATTGTAAGATCTCTGAGCAAGAGCAAAATTTAATTTGATTCTCTTAGTTAAACAACCGTGCCATTGACATATTACAAGCGAAAACCCCAAATTAACCGCCGCCTGGTTAGCTCAGTTGGTAGAGCGCCAGTCTGCTGTGCGGGAGGTCGAGGGTTCGAGCCCCAGACCGGACCAACACTCAGGGTCTTAAAATTAACTGAGGAGAATGTGCTGCCTTTGTAATTATATCAGCAAATGGTTAGACATTCATTTCTCGGATAATGACTCTAAACCGAGCAAGAGCAAAACGTTTAATTTGATTCTCTGTGGTGGTCTATCTGTTGTTTCATTGTAATTTCAACAAATATGAACTGATAGCCATTGACATCTCATCAATTACATTGTAAACCGCCTTGAAACCCCATATAAATACGTTCATTCATTCATTCATAGTCCAACGATAGTAATGTCCCCTCCGCTTTGATTTTATTTGAATGGCAAACACTCCATTTTCCTCCACCGCGAAAAGCACTATTTCAATCAGGTATTTTAATCAGGTATTTTGTATTAAAGTTTTAAGCGGAGATCATATTACCTTTACTTAAAAAAATTGTTGAGACTTAAATTTCTTTTTTAATTTGCAGATCTTAACGACAATGCAAAGGCAAACAGTCTTGACACTCTTGTGGCTCTTGTTGACTGTAATGATCCAAGCAGCGCATGCTCGTCATAACATTACCGCTGCTTTGGTTGCTTTGGCGCCCGTCTCAGACACTGATATTGAAACTTCGCTGAATGTCGCTGACAAAGATGGGAACACCGGCTCAATTGCAAACGTTAATTGGATTTTGATATCAAGCGCCTTAATTTTACAGCTTCTTGCCTTTCTCTTTCGCTGAGTTTGGGAGAAAGAAAAACTGTTATTGAGCTGTTTTATTGCCTATCCTGAACAAACTCCCTACTAGAAAGATAGCTTAGGAAACTATTTGTTTAAAACACAGTTCCCATGTACATTGGACCTATTTTTCTATAAAAATGTTGCAGGGTTTTGAAGTCACCCTTAAAGTCTGAAGTCTGTGGACACTGATTTCCTTTTTTCTTTATGGCGAACATCTCGGAGATCGACCACTGACAAAGGCGTCTAAACGCGCTTGCCTCACGTTGATTAAGCAAGTTGGAATCTTTTATATGCACATGGTGCATTAAACAGCACCTATAAAAATTTGCTTAAAGTTGACTTCTAGAAAACCGTAAAATGAAAGTTGTAATATAAAGAAATGTTTAGATCTTCGCGTGCGAGGTAACATATTAAGGCTTTGCAGAACATCCAGCTGACAAAAAAATATTTTTCAATTCTGATTGGGTTTCGCAAAAAGATGCCCTCGCTACTTCTTCGATCAAAAGTATTGATACATCAGAGAGAGGCCTACGGGAACATTGTGTGGGCTGAAAATTTTTCTGATCAGAAACATCAGAAGAGTTGTGGAATGAATAATATGCATCCTAACATGATGACGTCAGACGTGACACTGCCTTAAAAGTTCGTTCATTGTTTTTGTTTCCAGCCTCGTGACTTCCTAAATCACATATACGACATATCAAACCCTATGATGAGGTTGATATTGGAAAATGTGGTCAAATATTGGAATTAGCTTTAGAACTGACCAGACAGATGCTCCCGAATGAAGTATTGGTGTTGATAGGTTGCCCTCTCACAGTGCAAAGAGAAGAAAAATTATCGGATTGACGGTTGGTCCGGAGCTGCAATTAAACGTTTACATTAAATCCCTTTTCGCCAGCTCTTCGCATGCCTGAAAAGGGTGAACTGCTAATAGCGATACATGAATGATTTTAGTATTCTCTTCTTAAATTAGAACTCACGTCATTTGTATATAGTGCATCTAAATGTTAAAATTTTGATAAATAAAAATCTTCATGCCTTCCATCTTCTCAACATTGATGCATTCAATTCACTGATCTCCTTCTTCGTGTTTCCCTCAACACCCTTGTTTCCAGGGTTCAAATTCCGTACGAGCCGGAATTTTTCTTTTCAGGCCTTATTTTCACTATTACGTAAGTAGTTTTCATAACTGCGAGGATTGCTTCCTTTTTCGATCCTTGTTTCCTGTTTCTTCCTTGTACTTCCCTTTAGTTACGTGTTCCACTCACAAAATTCCATGGCTTTAATTATGCAAGGGTTATATTATACTGTGGAAATCAGTATAAACAACATGCATTTATCTCGTTCTCTCCATGATACATGAGTACTCATATCGAATCAGCTTGTTTATCCTGATTAAAGGTATTCATGGTAGACATGCGCTTTAAAGCAAAAAGTTAGAAGTTTTTGTGTCCCCCGATACGACGAGGCAGTCGCTTTTCCTCTCTCAATTCCCTCTGTGTTCTCGATTCCCTTTGTCGTTTCGAAGTTAATCATCTGCTCAGCTCATTGCTTATCCCAAGTGGCTGAGGTTAGTCTGAAACATGCATCAAAGGAAAAAGCTAGGAAAGTGTACGGCGATGTTCAAAACACTGGTTTTTACAACGCACTCGGGGTCTGAAAACAGTGTGACCACACTTTGTACTCAAGGCCTCTATGGTTTTATTATTAATAATATTTAACTAAGATGAAAAAAATGAAAAATACGCGAAGCTAAAAAAATTGCAACGTCTACATATGCGTTGGTCTCTCAATAGTTTCCACTTATCCTCTTTGGAATCACTTCCGAATCGCATGCAAAACTGGTTAAACTATTGGTACTTTTCATTTCGACCAATGAAGTGACGCTTGAATATCCTTTAATTGAATAATAAACTGCTTACTATTTCTCCTAAGAGGCCTCTCGAGCACATTTATCAAAAGGCCCTTCTCAAAATTAGGAATTTGCTTTTCTGGAACTCAGTTTGACTCACTAATGCTTCACAAGCCATCGAAAGAAAACTTTTACCGTGACACGAGAGTTATTGCAGAAAACGATCTGGAATTTTAAATTGCTCCTTTGTTTCTCTAATCCAGTGTTGAATAAGAAAAAAAACATAAATGTTCGGGAAAATTTCTACCGAGAATCAATGTCTCTCAGTTGGTCTACCATAAACTACATATTTCCGCGGAGTGCGTTTGACGTATGTTTTAGAATACCTGAGTCCATCACAAACTTGTGGAAGCTAAAAAGTAAGACAGGATGGATAATGGTGCATTATCAATGTGCTGATCATGTTTTAACGAAGGTGCTAGTTTTCAGTTCAAATGATTTTCTCTTCTCAGTGGTAGGTTTCTGTCACTTGCAGCTTATGAGCCGTCTTCGTCATTTGTCAAGGTGGGGATGTTGTAGTATGATGAAACGGATTCATCGTGCTTGCTGAAGTCGATGTAAGGGGTGTCTTTTGAGATAATCAGTTCTAGTTTTTCAACTAACTGGGAGAAACTGGGCCGAGTTGCTGGTTCTTCCTTCCAGCATTCGGTGATCAGTTCATATCTGTTGGGAAAAAAAAAGGTTGAATGAGTTCTTATTTCAAAACATGCATCTTTCTCTCTCTGCTCATTTGTAGATGGACATTAATTCAAAATGGCTGTTAAGTTTGATTGAAAGTTTATTGACTTGGAACGAACAAGGGAAGTTTTACGTAGTTCTGCAAATCCATGAATTTCGGAGTAAATTTGTCCGTGCAAAAAGTATTGGCGCCAAAGGGTTTGGAGTCCTGGATGCACTAACAACTTAACCAAATTAAAAAAAAAACAATTTTCAGAGTGTGGCTGCCCTAAAAGCTTCAACAAGCTTTTCCAGACTACTCAAAAGGTGAAGCTTTAGCTCTCAAGCTCTAACGGTATCAAAACTACTGCTCTAGCCGATGTGCAATTACTTGCAAATAACTTAAAAGAACTAAGTTTTGCACGCGAGTAGATGTGAGGTTGATTCAGTTACTCACACTTCATCAGAGCACATGTCTGGCCTCTCCATCCTATAGCCAGTCTTCAAAAGTCTGCATACTTCTGAATTAGTCAGCGTTGGGTAAGGAACACCACCTGATTGCAAAGCAAAAGTAGGTGTTAAACCATAAGTAGCCGTGATATTAAAATTTATGAAAAAATAGCTAACTGCAAAAAATTTTGTCATGAATAACAGTCTCAACTTTCTTGGAGACATACCCATGGTGATCATTTCCCAAAGAAGAATCCCATACGACCAACTTTTTGCAAAAAGAAATAAATAAAAGAAAAAATATTAGTGAAAATGAACCTGCTCGAACAACACAAAAGTTACATGATTGTCATAAGTCATTATAGCTCAAGAAATGGCTTTTGTTCCAAAAATTGCAAGTACGAATTTAATGGGTAAATCAATTTTTCGTTCAAGGAAGGAAATGTATTTTCATGTCATGAATGTGGAACAAAACTGCGAACAAATGTCTAGTTAGATAGCTACAGCCAGTTGCGAAATTGTTGAAACACTTCAGCAAAAAGTGCATTCACCGACTTCATCAGATGGCCAAGGAGAAATCAAGTGCAAAAAAACCGAAAGCTGCCCTCCTTTCCCGATTCAACTTTTTTCATCAACGTTTTGTACACGATACTGCTTAGCTGGCAATATTGCAAAGGGATCACATGATAACAATTATTTCTTGCTGTAGTAACATGTCTCAACTATTTTGAAACTAGTTGTAGTTTGTTACATACTTAGTTCATCAATTATTTTTTTTGAATGTATTCTCATTGAATGCCTCCATGACAACGGTACAAAATTTAAAGCCTGAGAAATGTCCCAAAGTATCGTGAAACTCTATACTCACACGTCGCTTTTGGTTGAAAAAATACTGTCAAAAATAGATTCGGGGGCCATCCACTTTACTGGCAGTTTTTTCGTTTTCTTCAGGCTGTACACGTCTTCGTAGATCTGGCGCATTAATCCAAAGTCTGAAACCTTCACTCGTCCGTCTCGACCAACGAGGATATTACGAGCTGCAAGGTCACGATGGACGAAGTCTTTCTCTGCAAGGTGATTCTAGCAAAAAGTGTCAAAATAGCGGACTGATGAAAGAACGTTACACCTACCAATTTTATAGAAAACACCGATGCAGCCAGAGATAGTATTTCATTCTTTTCCGAAATAGGTTCTTGCGAACTCAAGGCAAGTTTTTCCTCCTTAAGTTCCGCTTGTTTCCATCCTTTTTGCATTTGTAAGTAAGTTTTTGTTGCTCTGTTAATTGATTGTGTATGCAAAATACACTGAGGATTTGAGACGTCTTCCTTGGTGGTAGTTTAGTAACCTAACGCATGCAACCAACTTCCTTGATCAAGAACTGCATTTAATAATACATTACCATTCCTTGTGCTATTTGCCAAGCAAACGAAAAGAGTTTGTCAACCGTGAAGCTGTTGCTGTCTGTCTCGTCATCATCGTCATAACCAAGATTTTCAGTCGAGGTGTCGGCAGCGTTGCAGTTTTTTTGGAGGTTCAGTGGTATCGTTTGCAGTTCTATATGCTCCTGGTGATGAGAAGTCTGGAAATCCTGCTGCGTAAAGAGGTATATCATCTATGAAGTTAAGCTTTAACAACTGTCTACTTCACAGAAAATATGACACTGCACCGAGAAAATGCAAAAAGACTCAATTCAGCCTCTCTAGGTTTCGTAATGTTTCTAGAGAATATGGCTGTTTAATCAGTAATTTTCTCTTTTTTTTCGGTAATTACTATTCCTGTATTATTATCCCTCTGTGAAATCCTAGCTGTATTTTCAAATCAAAAGTACTACTGGACACCCACGCTGGAACTCGTCGAATCGCATCAACGCTAAGATGCGAAAAGTGAAGAATGAAATATGTCAAGCAGGACAAATTTAACTTGAAGGAACTTACCTGTCCAGACTCGTTGGTCTGTTTTAGGGAAATACAAATTTCTTTGTCTTCATATTCTTTCTCTTTTCCATCAGTAACTTGATTTTGGCTGACCTGTACAATATAAGGTTACGGAACAGTCATTGTTTATCGCCTGGAGGGGAGGGCTCGGACTGTTTTGGTAGGAATCACATTGTTTTAGGAGGAACGGATCTGTCGTTGCTAAGAGTATAAAGAAGGGACAATATGAAATTGACTACCCACAAGGGAGGGTCATCAGAATACTTCGGAGTCTTGGGAGTGGTCAGGTAAATTTTATTGTGTCACAACCAAAATTCCCCACCCCCACCACAGGGGCGATAAATCGTGACCTGCTCCTTTGCTTGGTAAATGGACCCCTTCATGTTCATTAGCGATGAGATCTTACCGGGTCTCTAAGACTCTGCAGGAGTTATAATATCTTCATTGTTAAGCCTAACAAAGCACTCTTTTTCCCTCGTTAAGCAATACAGTTTAACTAGAAATGAGCAAAAATTAATTAATCTGATCCCCTTCTCAAAATTGGGAATGTTTGTACATGGATATATCAGACTGAAATAAACATAGAATAGAACAAAACCAATCCACATCTGTAACCAACTCCGGGATTTCGCGCTAAGCCACAGAAATAAATAAGGTTTCTCATCGCTACACAAGATTCGATGATTATAATTAATTTAATTCTTAAGAAAAATTAAACTTTACAGCAGGTTAATTGAGTTATGAGAGTGAAGTGAAATCTCTTACCAATCGCCGATTTCTGCGTAACCATTGCAAAAGGTCACCATACGGAACATACTCTATCACCAGAAACTTGGTGTCTTGCAGTGTGCAACATCCAACCAAGGATACGATGCTGGGGTGTGATCCTAACAGTTTCATTTGCGATATCTCATGCAAAAATGCTTGTTTCTGCTCTTCGCGAGGATTATCTGTAACAGACGTAGAATTTGAGACTGGATCCCTGGGTGTGCCTAATTTTTCACCTCAAATGTTTTAGCACGTGTCTTCCACAGCTTTGTGAAAGCAACGACATACTTTGAACTTCATGTCGCTGTTATTTTTTGCCATGGCTTGTTGGTGCAGTCAACCCCACACAAATGTAACGACTCGGACCTTTTCTTTTTCTTGATCTTACACGTGCGAGGGACATTCTCACTTATGAGCCTTTTAGATGGCATAAACATTCGCTAACGAATTTTATTAAGCTCAGTTCGCATAGAATTCAAGCACGGCAAGTGAATGTCTGGATTCCATTTCTTGTTGGGAGAGGGAGACTCTTTGAAAATACAAGCTTACTTCTCAGTACAGATGAATATTTCATGTTATTCTACTGCGGTGTTTCGTAGTAAAGATTTGTAAAAGCTATTGTCGTGACAGGGCCTCCCTTTTAGTTAGATTAAAAACAATTATTCATCGGTGGCAATTAACGAACAATCTGAATTTTCTGCGGTGTTTAATTAAACGATAATCTGATTAATACCCATCGTTTAAATTTTTGAACGTTTTAGTGGAGGTTAAAACAGCATCTCACAAAGTGGAGACAGTTTGAAAATCACATGCTTTTTTAGGAGCCCATTATGTGATGGGCTTCTGGTTTTGCTCAAAAGTGCATCATATTTTGATTGAAAAGACAGATTCAGCGCATAACAAACCTGGTAAAACCTTTACAGCGACCTCCTGTGAAGCCTCTTTTGGCGTGGATTTCTTACCAGTCAGAAACATATCTATCCCAGCTCTTTTTCTCAGAGTTCCTTTGTAAACAATACCAAAAGCTCCTCGCCCTAACTCTTCTTTGTATTCTATCTGTTCAGGAAGAATCTCCCACTTGTCTAGGATGACGATTTTGCGAAGAGATAGAGCGGACCTGTCGAATTGAGAAGATATGGGTAAAAAGGTAACGACTGACAATAATGAGCTCTTGGGCCAAAATGTTAGTCGCTGTAGCGTGGCGTTACTAACATTGTTAACCCAACTTTACACAAGCACCAAAGTTCCCCAACACGAGTTAGTTTTTCTTTGGGATCTTGCTTTCTGAAGCAGGAAATAAATATTAGGACACCGATAACCAATTCTGAAATCGGGGCCGAGTTGAAATCCACTGCGGTTTTGTGCGCACAACAGGATAGCTGTGTGAAGAAGGACAGTTTGAGGAACGCATCATCACGATGCACCACTAACAGCTGTTGGAAACGAACCAACCACAGCGGGGCGGTATGGCGCCTTATAGGATGGCATGCGCAAAACCTGAAGAACTAAAGAAGCATAAACACTGCGAACCACATGGGAAGTGACTTCATCGTGAGACAAGCTATAATTCGATATAAATATATGTTAATACAATGAAATTTCCTAACCGACTTTTTTTTTGCTATGTCTCATTTTTGTCTAAAGTTAACATTTATTTTCGTGGGGCCAGTTAAGAAAAGTAAGTTACCTTCTATTTATCTTTCGTTGTTTGACTTTGTAATACCAGCAGCTGAGAGCCAAACACAGCAACAGAAACAAACTAGAGGCAACACCAGCAACGATATATATGATCATGATGGAACCTGAAGAGGTTGCATTCACTTGAGACGGATCAGCTTTTATTTCTGACATTGTTGTGGACTGAACACTTATGGTTGTCTGTATTGATTCTGTCTTATGAACTATCGATTCTGTCTTGGGGGCTATCGTGGTCTCTAACAAAAGGTCGAAAAACTGATCAGCGAGCAATCAACCACCTGGTACGTTTTTACACAGTTTGTCACTGTGTAGCATCTTTGTATGATTGTTCATTGCTCTCGTTTGCTTGTTTGTTTGTTTGTTTTTTTCAACTTTAAAAAGCTAGAGGCTTTTTGACTTGAAATGTCGCCGATATTTGCATCTTCTTGAGCATTGATTACTTACTTAAAATTTGTAAAGTTGAGAAGTGAATCCAAAATCCTCGTCTTTGGATATCACTGTCTGTGTGGAATATCATCAAAGCATAGCTTCCATTTACAATAACTTTCTCTCCACTTTTTTGCCCGCAGTACACACCGAATACCCGGTTCGCTTCATTGGTAATAGTTAGGAAGTCCCGGCTAAAAAAACAGATCATAAACACTTTAAGCTGTAACTATGGTGAAGTGTCGAGTTTTTGCTCATTCAAGTAACTTTTGACAAGAACCAAATGCCAGTTATTGCGCGCTTCGCAAAGCGAACCGATTTGATTCAAACCGACTTTCGTAATCTAATATTCGGACTTGAAATGAAGTTTTTAAAACTTTCAAGAGTGCTTTGTCCATTCAATATCATCTTAAATGTTCACATATCTTGGAAACTGGCTTTAGTTTCATGATACAGAAACAGAAAGTACACAAGATAGTGAGTCTTTACAGAAATCAATCCGACAGTACGACCTCTGTCCTGTGGAACTCATCTTCAGATATAGAACATGAATAAAAAAAACAAACAACAACAACAAAACACGGACAAAAACATAACCAAAGCATAAAAAAGCAAGGCATAAGAGAAATGAGCGCTAAAGGCCAGGATGAGAAGAAATGAAATGTATGGTATTTAGAAACACTCTACCCTTACATCGCTACTTACGCGCACGACTGACTATCCTCAAGCTCAAACTGGCTAAGATAAATTTCCATCTCCTGGCCCTGTGGGATTGGAACTGCTGACGTACAGTCCATGTTGGCTGGGTAATTTTCAGGATAACCAGGACTTTTCAGCGTATCATTTACAACTGGTCCACAACCTGATCCGATAAAAGAAGTGCAACATTTTAGGGAATACCTTGGAAGGCTAAGACAAGACAATTTTGACTATCTGAAAAATTGCAAGTAGTTCGTTAAATCTTACCACAGAGACAACTCAAATTTTACCGAGAACATATAGATGCCAAACCCTGGAATAAATTAAATTTGGGTTAAAGAGACCTTTGAAAAGGTTTTTCATTCGCACGGCTTGTGTTTTCTTTAATTCATGTTCTTAAGTGACACTGAATTCTTCAATCCATAATTGTGGTCTATAGATAGATAATTTTTTGTCTCAAAGATTGTTTTCATTTACCTTTCACTAAGAACTCAGCTGTGTCAGTGCCATACTTGCTTGTTGCCATGCAGCTGTAATTGCCATCCTCATATAATCTGATAATGGCTGAGTCTGTGGTGTTTATCAGTACTGCAGAAGTCTGCTTATGAACTATTGATGTGTAAATGGGCGGGGTTCCAATGGCTAAACACGACACCTGGTTACTTGGAGTTATGGGTACTTTAAGATCTAATGACGTTATCCTTGGTTGAACTAGAATGCAGCAGAATTAGTAACTGTAATTAGCGAGCTTGATAGTGTAAGCTAATACGATGTTTAATCGATCGCTCATCACAAGAAACGTCCGTGCTGATACGTGGTGAAGCGGTAAAAAATGTGAATGAATGAGTGGCATATGAAAACCCTTAAGAATCTCACACGAACATGTACGAAAGGAAGCTCGAGCTCATCAAATTTTTAAAAGCAGCAAGATTAGATCGCGACCTTTTCAATGAACACTCAACTATTTTCTCGGATCTTGATAGCATTTATCAATATAGCATGTTTTCAAATTTGCTGAAAAAGACTAATTTAAGTTCTGGAGAGTATATCTTTTTTAGCTCAGCTTTCAAGTAGTATCTTTACAAATTCACTATTCACTGCAATTTGGGGATTCCGAACGGTAGCCTGACCGTTTAGGAATGGGCTTGAAATTCGAATTTGGTCACCGCCACTTTGTAAATACGTCAGTAACCTGGCCTCATATCCATCACTCGACGTGATCCATTGACTGAGATAAAATCATGTTGAGCAAACTTTACTTTATTAGTAAATAACGATTCTCTACGTACCAAATGGAACAGCAGTAAATATTATATGGAATCCTCTCTCTTCTCGATTGTAGTCTGAGTGGAAGGTTATCGAGAAGAACTCTCCAGTCAACAATAATATCTTGCCTGTTTGTCCGCCACAGAACTTTCCAACAACCGTTCCTTCGTCATCAATAATCTTTACGTAATCAAAGCTGTTTAATTTAGGAAAGACATTTAATAAAAAATGTGCACAACAGCGAAAATTGCTTTTTTGCTGAAAATTTTACCCTTTTGTTGTTTAGGCACAAAGGCATGACACATTTTCTATATAAAATCAATGATCTCTCTGTAATATCCCAGGCCAGTGGTATCTCACTGACAAAGGTATATCCGCACGAAAGCGACTTATATTGTAATTTGAGTTTTTTTTTGTTGTTGTCTTTTTATCGTGCAACGACATTTATATTCGCTTCTGGTTAAAATGACTAACACTAAAGAGTTAAGAGTACCCCCATCCTCCTTCCCTCATCTCATCCCCAAGCCACAATGATAAGGTTTAGAAAAAAGTCCAAAGTTATTTCAACGTATTAGATAGGTTTGTAACAAGACGGCGTCAGTTTTTACAGCTCAAATAGAATTATTGACTTTTTAATTTTTAGCTATGTATCGGTAAAATTTTTATTTGCGACATCTTAGGGCAGTGATTTAGCTTCTAGCCTATTTTGCTTGTTTGTCATAGTTACCTGCATTCTGAACTTTCCTCTAATTTAAAATCGATGAAGGTAATATTCATCGTCATCTCTTGTGGAATATAAACCAGATAATCACAGTCTGTATTATTTGGGTAGTATTTGGGATATCCAGGGCTTTTCAGTCTATTTTTCACTACTGAACCACATTCTGCAAAAAGATAAGAAGTAAGCTGGCAAAAATACATGATACAGAATGCCTCCTAGTATTAACATTGTGGGATATATTAGTCAAGTGTTGCAAATTGAGTTTAGACTTCGAGTCACTGAAATGATCTGCAGTCTTAGACCTATTATACAAATAAAAATGGGACATACATAAATTTACGTTATCAATCAAAAACTGGCTTTCATTACATGGCAGAGACTGAAGTTAGCTTATGCTGGGTTGCAGACAGGGGCGGATCCAGGAAAGTCTGAAAGGGTTGGGGGTTGGGGGGGGAGGGAGGGGCTCTACACCTTAGTAACTTTCAACGCCATTAGCGTGGAAGGCGAGTGCCGCTGGTGCAAGCTTCTATGGGGATCCGGGACCACGCCCGCCCCCTTCCGAAAGTGTGAAAGAATGTTAACCTTATTTCTTAGCCAGAATTGTTAGCCAGAATGTTAACCTTATTTCTTAGCCAGAAAACTAATCAAAGTGCTCTGTGAGCAAACTCGTGAATTGACACATGATTTTTAGGATTATGTTTAATGTTATCTGGTGTAGGGAATTTTGTGGTTGATTGTCATATCTGGAGTACGAGCAGTAGTTCAGTGTTCGCTAATGTAGCAAAGAAACAAAATAACGTCGGGATAAGAAGGCATTACAATTGAAATGATCATGCTATTGCATTTGACAAGGGTGGATGATGTCATATGTTTTAAACGTATATCATTTCTGTTTCTGGTTCAAAAGAAAAGGTTGGAAGTAAATGTGGGTGAAAAGTGAGATTTACTGTCTATCATTGTGAATATTAGAAAATCAAGACAATACTTTCTTAATGAAAACATTAACGATGAGACAAACGGGAACGAGTTTTGAGTGATATAACTAAGCTAAGACTGCCACCGTCATTTTGGATCTCCGCCTGGGTAGATTTTAGTCACGTGCTAGGCAACGTATAATCAATAACAAGATAGAATTTCATTTCAGGCCTATTTATCAATTTTGTGGTGTATAACTTTCGCATTTTAGTACGTAATATGTATTTTGACTCTTCAAATTGTCTTGAAACTTAAAAGAAAATTTTTCTTTAAAAATTCACTGAAAATCGGTAGCTAAAATTGTTTGTTTAGGTGTTATTTGATTTTCGTGTTAACTTGTAATTTCGTTAGTCGCCGGCATCTTCTGTTGTTTCTCACAGGAAAAACACACGATACGAAACGTAATGATCGATTCTGTCCTCAATCTCACGCCAACATCATTTGAACATCTGTAAACTCCGAGCGCTTCGCGGTAAGTGATATTTTCAATGAATCTTCGGATTGTTTTCAAGTTCAAGGATTGTAAATTACAATTTTATGAAAAACGAAGGTTTTCTCTTATTTCAGTGTGAATCCTTGCATGCCTGCCAGTCGCTGGCGCCGCTTGTTGAAACTTAAACGAAAAAAAAAATTATTTTAAGATTATCATTGGCTTCTTTGTCACCCCACCACTATTCTTAGCAACAAAGGTCGCCATTTCGTTTGTTTATTGCTCGCCAAAAACTATCAAATGCACTCAAAAGCCTAAAATCTAAAAAAAGTTTACAGGAATCGACCAATCGAGCGAGCGAGCGAGCGAGCGAGTACCATTCCCCACATCGTATCTGCAACTCACTCTTGCGCATGCGCGCAATTTACGAGTTAAAAATGACAGTTTTTCATTAATTGACAAGCGGACAGTTGGTGGAAATAAAACAACTACGTAAAACCGATTTTATTTTCTCATTATTATGAAGAATCAACAAAATAAATAATATATAAAATGCTGCTAAAAAAAATCAAAGTGCTCTGTGAGCAAACTCGTGAATTGAAAAGAAAAGGTTGGAAGTAAATGTGGGTGAAAAGTGAAATTTACTGTCTTTCGTTGTAAATATTAGAAAACACAAGGCAATACTGTCTTAATGAAAACATCAACGATTCCCTCTTTATCAAATGAGACAAACGGGAACGAGTTTTGAGTAATATAACTAAGCCAAGCCTGCCACCATCATTTTGGATCTTCGCCTGGGAAGATTTAAGTCACGTGCTAGGCAACGTATAATCAATAACAAGATAGAATTTCATTTCAGGCCTATTTATCAATTTTGTGGTGTGTAACTTTCGCATTTTAGTACGTTGTATGTATGTTGAATCTTCAAATTGTCTTGAAACTTAAAAGAAAATTGTTCTTTAAAAATTCACTGAAAATCGGTAGCTAAAATTGTTTGTTTAGGTGTTATTTGATTTTCGTGTTAACTTGTTATTTCGTCAGTCGCCGACATCTTTTGTTGCTTCACACAGGAAAAACACACGCGACGAAACGTAATGATCAATTTTGTCCTCAATCTCACGCCATAACAGAAAAAGCTTTTGAACATCTGTAAACTCCGACCGCTTCGCAGTAAGTAATATTTTCAATGAATCTTCGGATTGTTTTCAAGTTCAAGGATAGTAAATTACAATTTTATGAAAAACGAAGATTGTTCTGTTATTTCAGTGTGATTCCTTGCATGCCTGCCAGTCGCTGGCGCCGCTTGTTGAAACTAAAACGAAAAAAAAAACTCTTTTAAGATTATCATTGGCTTCTTTTTCACCCCACCACTATTCTTAGCAACAAAGGTCGCCATTTCGTCTGTTTATTACTCGCCAAAAACTATCAAATGCACTCAAAAGCCTAAAATCTAAAAAAAGTTTACAGGAATCGACCAATCGAGCGAGCGAATGGCATTCCCCACATCGTATCTATAACTCGCTCTTGCGCATGCGCGCAATTCATGAGTTAAAAAGGGTAGGTAGAATTAGTGGTCTAAGCTGGTTATCATTAACAATTTGCGGTACTCTGCCAGTCTTCGAATTCTCAGTTTCCTTACCGTCTTGCAAAAACATAAAATCTATATCAAAGCCTCTCTGTTCATTTTTGTTATCAGTGTGGAACCTCAACAGAACAAAGTCTCCAGAAATCGGAACCTGGTAATTGGTCTTGTGGCCACAGATTGTAGTAAGCAACACCGACCTTTGATTGACTTTCCTCTTTATCTGCAAAAAGTCATGACTACAAAAGAAGGAAATCATGTTTTTTTTTTAAATAAAAATGCATGTTAGTTACCGATAAGCAGGGACAAGAGAAAAACCTAGAAAAAATGGCAAATACCGCCAGAGACGATTAGAAAAAAACCAAGGTATTATGCGAAACATATTTACTTTAATATTCCTTTCTACAATGTGTCATTTTGTGTCATTTTGGGTGAACTGCTATCTGCAAAATGGCCAAAATTTTAACTGCCAGCTGTAAAAGCCACCGCCCCATTTACACCCTCATGTTAGGTCCAGCCAATAAACTAATAAGTCTAGGATTTAAATCTCAGAGCTGCGACAGATTTCCCATTTTCCATAATGAGCATGAAACGGTTATACTTTGAACTTAGATTCCATATCCACCAAGTACCTCCAAACCCTCCAATTCCTCATCTTTATTTTTAATCTAAATATATTTTCCTCATCATCATTTTCTTCCATGAAGATTGCAATAACTTTTGATTCATTCGTTAAAAAGATTTAGCCAAAAAAAGGGGTCGAAAACGTTGTGATAAACGTTTGAAAAAAATAACAGCATTCAGACAGAAATTGCACAAATCTGTATTTGCATGATAATGATTGCAGCTACTCCAAATCCAGGCACAGTCCTATTTTGTGCTTCTTTCTGTATAAGCCTTTTCTCCAACTGTTCTCTTCCTGTCTTTACGTACATCAACAGTTGCATCTTCAGAATAGCATTACGATAGAAAGTTGGACTAGTTTATCATACACTTGTATCCTATCAAGTACTTTTACCTGCACGATGCGTGATCTTCCAAATATAAATCCTTAATCAAGATTTGCATTTGCGCGTTTGGAGGAATAGGGACGGAGTAATTGCAGTCTAGATTGCTTGGGTAGCCGATTGGATATCCAGGACTTCTCAGCGTATTATTTATCACCGACCCACAATCTGTTAACGCAAAGTAAATGAGCATTGTGTGAACAATTTGTTAGCTATTTCCTGGTGCGAGCGACGAAAGCCAACGAGATATTCTAAAGATAAGACTGACAGCGCTGTTAACCACGGACTGTTCAACAGTTCACTAGTTAGTTTCTCGTGCTTTTAGTTGTATTACTACAGCGTAATTTGATTTGCTCAAATTGTTAACTCCAAGAAACGATATTTCCTTCTCAGGTAACACAGGTTCATTCTATAAAGAAGAAACCAATGAATAACAAAGAAATAATGAAACTGTTACATGGATGCAACACAGAAGATATGATGGAATGTTACATGCACGTGAAACGACGAAGACGATAAGAAATAACTTGTGCTTTAAATAAAACTGATTGCTAAAAAATGAAAACAATCAAATTATGTTTTCTCTTAATTTTGATTAGTACTCTTGTGAAATTATGATTCCTTGTTCCCTGACATCTTCCATCAACAGAAACAACTTTCTCTGTGAAATAAAGAATAGAGTTTAGAAACAGCTATTTTACTGGAATATTTACCAAATGGAACAGGTGTAAAGTGCATTTTGAATCCTCGTTTTTCGTGTGAAGCGTCGGAGTGGAAAACCATGAAGGCGTATTGTCCAGTTACAAGAACCTCCTCTCCAGTCTTCTCCCCACAGTAAACACCAAAGTAGTGGTTCATCTCGTTACGGATCCTCAAATAGTCCCAGCTACAAAGAATTATACAATAAGCTAAATTATACACGCATTTTAAATAAATAAGTTTTAACTTTGATGTATTGGAGAGCAAAAATATTGATGATTTTATTCATTATTCATTCATGAAAATGATCTTGAACAGCTGTTTAGCTACATTAGTTTTACTCTAATGCGAGACATGATACGAATATTTACCTGCAATGGTTGCTGTCCTCAAGGTCAAACTTAGCAAAATAAATTTTCATTTGCGTGTTTTGCGGAATAGGAATAAATGACAGACAGTCTGTATCGCTCGGGTAGTTGTCAGGATATCCAGGACTGGTCAGTGTATTATTATTGACCACACCACATCCTGTTACACCGAAGAAAGATAAAACAGAGCTTTGTTCGATCAAGTGTTTTGATTGTGTTACTATTGACGCACTTAGGAGGGTAAACTCTTTACTTGTACATCATAGGCAGGTCCAACTATGGTTTATTTCGTATAATTGTGATCAGATTCCTTTACTTTCCTTTAATCCACTAAAAAGTGTTCATACCTCGGTAAGTAGAGACGCCCAGTTAGCATTTGTGAATCGAAGGCATAATTTTTTGAGGATTTTTTTTCAATTTCTTTAATTACAGCTCACATGAAAGGATAATTTTATCTACTTTTCCTTTAAGTCTATCACAGTTCTACTGCACTTAAAGTTGCAGCCATCAAATCTTCATCCTTCTACCAAAACATACGTTGGAGGACTACCACACCTACTGCAACAGGGATCAGGCTAGGGATGCATGATCCCTGTCTGATGTTGTCCGGACTGTCTGAGGTTGCTTCGAATCATTGTTACTTTCCACCCGTTTATTGCTCTGAACTTTACTCATCTTTATCGAGTTCTTCTGGTATTAAACGAGACTTTCAAAGATAAGTCCTAATCAATATACATCATAAATGTATTTTATCTAGTTCCCTTTATGTTTTAGATATATTTATGTACATATGAGTAAACTTACCATTTTGAGCAAAGGAGAAGCGCAAACGAAATCCTTGTCGTTGATGATTCTCATTTGAGTGGAATACTATTTGCACAAATTCTCCAGCAATAATAATTTTCTTGCCGTTTTGCTGGCCACAATAAATGCCAGCCACCATCCCTATGTCATTTTTGATCGTCACAAAGTCGCTTCTAAAAAACGATAAAATTGGGAACTGTGATAAATCTACCGAACAGAATATGATGCAATACAAGTTTGCATACGGGCTGTGATGTACATTTCGTCTAGGCCCTTAGTGTGAAAGTTTCAACAAAACTTGTGTTTTGAATTGAACCGTTTGCAGCAAACGGATGATGACCTTTTTTCCTTCAACCTATATAACGTCAACTCTCATCTCATGGTGCCGTGACATGTTTGTCCTTAGTAACAGCTTATCTTTGTGTGCAGCTGAGAAAGCTGACTCAATATTCCGTTGGGGTTAATAACATCAGAAATCAGATAGCAATAAATACTCCCCGAGCAAGTCGCAAGGAAGGAAAATGAAATTTCAATATAATTCTAATACCGACATATAATGAAGATGCATAAGGAATTTGGTTGAAATTCAAGCCCTACTTACGCACATAACGAAGGGGAGTTCACGAATTCCAAGTCAAAATAAACAAAAGTAATGTGCAATGCCTTGTTTTTTGGTATGGGAAGCGAATAAGTACAGTTCATGTTGCTTGGGTAGTCGTTTGGATAACCAGGGCTCACCAGTGTGTTATATACAAAAGAGCCACAATCTGTTGAAGCAATCAGTGAGATAGATAATCATTGCATCTGGCATTAATCACATTAATACTCTTTTCGTATCAACAATTCGCTCTTCAGTTGAACACTGCAAGAATTAACAAATGGAGAAGCCTTGACTGTGCTCTGTTCTGTTATAAAGCACGCAGGAAGCGGTTAGAGCACGAAAGAAGTGTAGGGCTCTCTATTTGGCTTCTCTATTTGTTTTATAATAAAGAATCCGTTACTTTCAATTTTCAAAACAAACTTTATTTCCAAAGCGAACAACAATGTCGTCAGCATGCTCTATACTCTCATAAAGCCGCTACAATAAGCCAATAAGAATCCTTGTTAGAATGGTTCAAATAATCGGATTGGCTGTACAAGACTAAAGCTGTCAAAATTGTCAAACCACCAAAGTTCAAAAACCATCAAAGTTCACATTCTACGATAGTTTACAAACTAAAATAGTTTGGCAAGTCGAATTTAACACTTTTGCCTGAAGTTTTTAAGTCTCTAATACAGAATCTTGTAGTGAAATGCTCAGTGAACTTCAGCCGAATTATGGCTCATAAAAACACGCGAGTTTTTTTACATGACAAGGTCGAAAACAAACTGTTCAAGGCGTGTGTTTTTTGAATGAACGACAGCCGAATTCACCGGAACATGAAGATCGCTCTTGATGACAGCGCCGCAAAACTCGGCTGCAGTGACTGATATGACTTTCCACTCAACGTATCGGAAAGGATATCAGAGCAAGCTCTTATTTTTTCACTCGAAGGGTGGCCGATGTAGTTTCTGAGGCTTGCTTTACTGTGATGATCGGAGATCGCCATGACGAGCGAGCTGCGATGAACTTAGTATGATCATATTCGCTCAGACACCGTCATGATTAGTATGAATTTTAACAATTATGCCAGTTTGGTTATATTTGTTTTGTTCTGTTTTGTTTTTGAACACTGAACTTTATATACTTTTCGAATGTTAGCTGTGTTTGATTTTTATTACCGTACGTAAGCTTGCAATTTAACTGAGCGTGAAAATCTTTAAAACTCGGAATGTTTATTTTGTTTTTCCTTTGAGGATTTTCGTATCTGCTCACGTTTTAATAAAGTAAATTACGGCGCCTAGTATGTTTACAAACTTTTGTTTGATTCTTCTGTTGCTACTTGCCGGCTCGCTTCAGTTCCGAAATTTCACTTTCAATTATCGGAAAAAAGCTAAAAAGAAGTCCTGGAAAAGCTCGAACACAGTACAATTGGCAGATGGCGTGACAGCTGTAGCTCAGCTCTATGCTCTATACTCTCATAGAGCACGCTCTTTCAACCAATGACAGTGCGCGTTATATCCGAACTTTATTATAAAACTTAACAGTAAGCATTAATTCGATTCCACGCCCACATCTAAACTTCTCAGACTTTGACTGTGAAGAAGTTTATAGTCTCGATTTTTAAGAGAAAATCAGATTTTTGAATCAACTTGATTGCAATAATTAACCACAAAGTGAGATCTATCAGTGAACATCTGATTAATGGACTCCGCTTTAAGTGCTTATTGCCAACATGAGTGACATCAAAATTATAGGATGATTTCTGACGTTTTCGCCTATAAACAAAGACTTTAACCATTAGAACATAAAAAACCCAATGCAGCGAAACCCTGTAATCAAAAATTAGATGGGTAGAACAATGGATTAAATCTCAGCCTAAGGCATTAATTTAAAAGTTTTCTCGTCCGAAGGATAGATTTTCCTTTAACGATTGTTTACTTTCGTTTGTTTTGTTTTCTCTTTAAGTTTGATATTCAAGATAGTTGCAAGCGAAAGCTCCGAAAAAGGAAAATTATCGTTGCTAATTAAATTTGACACTTAAGGATGCCTTGCTTTGCTTAGCCATAGAGAATGAAACTGTTGCATCTCTAAACTTACCCGCAACATAACTTTTGAAATGCAACTTAAACCCTCTGCTTTGAGTTGCGTTCTCAGTGTGAAAAGTGATGAACACGCTAGTTCCAGTTACATTTATTTCATTTCCAGAGCCTTGACCACAATACACACCAAATCCCTGGTTCTTCTCGTTGGTAATATTCAAATAGTCTCGACTGCAAGAGAATGCTAACATATGTTTTTTGTTTTTCGTGAGATGCATGGTTCATAATATTGCAAATAAAAATAAGTGCAAGCCGCACTCGTATTTCCTGACTGCATACACAAAAATCAATTATTGACAAACTGCAGTCTTAGCGGCATGCTTCTCCTTTTTCAGTCTAACCTTAAGCCTTAAATGGGGAAATGGGAAATGCATGCCAACTCTGGGGAGTACTGGTGATAGCCAGGCGAAAAGTTGTTTTCTGAATCAATTGTAAAGTCAGAATTCATATCCCAAATGACCTCATGTCAAACATCCTTTTGGTCAGTTGGTATTGTAATGATTCATCCTAGGATTGTATGTTGTAAATGATTGAAATAGTTACTTACTTGCAATCATCACTATCCTCCAGATCAAAATCAATGAAGTAGATTTGCATCTGCATGCCTCGCGGTATAGTAACAGAGGATCCACAATGCATAGCCCTTGGGTGGCCACCAAGATATCCAGGACTTGTTAACGTTCCGTTTATCACTGGGCCACAATCTTTTAGAGAAAGCATTTTATTTATTAATATATTTTACTCTAACAATAATAATAAAGAAAATTCCTATTGGAAATACAGCTATGACTGCAAATTATTTACACTTTCCATAAAGCGTTAATTTTTTAAAATCGTTTTAAAAATAAAAAAAGTATTGCATTTTTCTTCCGAATATGATAATTCTCTCCGCTACCAGCATGTGGCTACGTAATTCATCAAGTAGTGCAATTTCACCAGTCTCTGAGAAACCCGAGTTTGAACTTCAAAGAAGCTTTGATTGTTTCAGGCCCTATTTCTTTTATTTCTCCAATTGCAGTTCACCTGCTAAGATCCGTTTCGTGTTTAGTTATCATACACAGGTTAAACATAGTTTTGTTAATTTATTTGTGATATAAAAGATATTGCATGCTTCAAATTGACATCAGTTTCCTCACCTATCACAGGGAAGTCTTTTCTGTCAATACCATACTTGCTCGTTGCCACGCAGCTGTAGTTACCTCGATGGTATACTTTGACACTGGCCTGGTCTGTGGTGTTCACAAGCACTGTAAATGGATCCATCTTTACTATCGCTGTATATATGATGTGGGATCCCGCGGTGGAGCACAAGACTTGGTCGCCTGGAATTATAGGTTCTGCAGGATCGAGTGATGTTATTCTCGGTGGACCTTTCAGTATGAACCATAAACTAATCTTAGGAAAATATTCACTATAATCATCACATGGTTACCTCAATTATTTTTTGAGCGACTCTATTAGCTAGCAGCAAGAAAGGGTCATCTTCCTCTCCTGGTGGCACATTATGGTTGTACTTACCATTTGAAAAGACAGCAAAATGTAAAAGGAATCCACTCTTTTCTTTGCTCTGGTCGGAGTGGAACACTATTTCAACGTATTCTCCAGCCACAAGAACTGTAGTTCCAGTCTTCTGACCACAGTAAGTACGAACTTCATTTCCACTGCTACTATTGATCTTCAAGTAATCATACCTGAAACAACAATATTTTAGAAGCAGTGATTAAACGAGAAAATGCTCTATAACATACTGTGCAAACTGAGAGAATGATGCAGACAGTTTTTAGAGTGGTCTATGTTTGTTTGTGTATTTATGCTCACCTGCAAGTTGGCTGACTGAACTCAACGTCAAAATAGACGAATGTAATTTTCATCGTCATTTCGTTTGGTATAGGTAAAGTAACGGTACAGTCCACATTACTTGGGTAATTTTTTGGAAATCCAGGACTTTTCAAAGTGTTGTTTACCACAAAGTTGCATTCTATAAGACAGATTGTGGAAATCAAGTTTGTGGTTAGTAAAATCTCTGAACTCAGTTTAACCGTGAACAAAAATTTTAGCATTGCCAAAGAACAAGTAAATTCTCATCTTGCTGTCTGTGCATTTAGAAAGTAACAGCAATACTGCTCACACTTTTTATAACATAAATCATTGACCAGCGGTACTGCTATGCCTGCCAGGGTAGAGGCCAGTCCATTGTTCAAATGATCAAAAAGGAAGCTGTGCTTGGCATGAAAAGCCAATTTCGTTCTCTGTTATTGCTAATAGATTTGATTTCGTTTTGACAAAGTTATAAATGTTGGTCTCTTTGCTTATTCCTAAGTTTTTTTTTCACAGCTGCTTTGAAATTGGCAGCTCAGCTAGGAACATATCATCCTATTGGTAAATCTCTGTATTTCAGCATAAGGGTTTTTTTGTTTTGTATTTTGCATTTTTGTTTTACTCAGCTCGTGTGGCTATCATAAACGCCATTGCAATAAAGTACATAGTGGGTAGAACCTAGACTAAAGAAAAAGAAAATCAAACAGTCGTGTATACTCACCTTCCATTGCGGCAGCGCCTTCCTTTTCATTCCACATCAAAGAGAAAAGTAAAAAAACGAAATTCATGGTACATGCATTTCTTTTCCGGTTCATATCCACATAGTTTAATGTCTTTCCGCGGGTAAAAGTCATTTCTACAATAACAAACATTTCTGTAACTTAAGCTGGCGCTTCATTATTAATTCAGTCTTCGATTTACTTAAATACAGCATCTACTTTTGCAGCTCGTAAAAACGAGCAATGTTTTATTAATATGAATTTTTATCATCAGGGTTATGAAAAATGTTTCAAAATGCCACTGACCGGAGGAACATATTAAATATTCTCACATGTTTCTTAAGCTTCAACTCATGGACAATTGCGTGGATTTTATTTTCCAACATGAACACTAACATAAAATCAGTTTAAACATCAACCGGCAGAGGAAGAAAACCCGTCTAATTAACGCAGTGCGTGATAACAGCCTTGCACCTGCCGTCATCACAAACTTTTCTGAGCCACTCATTATTCATTTACCAAATATACATTGCTTTGATCTGAGATAAAATTTCATATATTTTCATCAAAATCTGTAAATGAAAGTTCAAAATGACAGATGAGATCGTAAAATGAAAGAAAGGTTGATCAGACAGGTGTAATGGCAAAAAAATGACAATGTATGCAAAAGGAGATAAGCATTTCGAAAAATGACATCAATCGAAGGGCTAATCACGCTTCTAATTAAAAACGCCTTGTTCTTTGGTGCAAATTATACAGGCCATCAAATGAGAAAATTCGAAAAAAAAAAAAAAAAAAAAAAAAAAAGGAACACCAGATAAATTGCTACCTTAATCATAATAAAAACCGGCCCAGACTGGAGATCAGAGACTTGTTAATCAAACATTTACTCTCAACTGCTGATAGCTCACGTCACACATTGATTCATGATGTGGATCACGTCTCTGTTCAAAAGCCGCATTTTTCCTTTCGCTGATAGGAGTAGTGCCTCCTCTGATGATTACGGGAAAGAAATTATTAAGCGAATGATAACAAAATTACGATCATTATACATTTAAAATTCGGCGCACGTAGTTAATACCGCTCCATACTTGGAATTATCAGAGCTACCCTTTTAAAGATTTTAATGCATCAGTGACTGTCGTAGAAATAGGCTTAAAAAAAAGAAATGAATGATACACTAAAGGCCGAATGATACACCAAGTATCAGCTGGCTTCTACAGTACTTACATTTAAGAAAGATGTTGCTGTTAACCTTTTAGAAATCTCCACTCTTTTGTTTCCCTGACTCAGAGCGGAACATTATGTTCTTCAGTGCTTTTCTCCACACTTCTTTCGCTATGGGTTTGTTTAGTATAATCTAAATTCTCACGAAGTACAACACACCCTAAAGGAGGCAGTGTGGCCAAGCTGTTAGGAATTGTGAACTGGTGCTCTCGGGTCCAAGTTCTCCGTCCTGCTTTACAATGGATTTGCGCTTCTTGGCTATTTCGAGCTCAATTCTTTAGCTGCGCTTTGTATATAGCCATCTGCCTCCGGTTTATCTACATGATTGTTTCAAATTGTTTGTATTGGCCTTGAAAAGCCCATTGGGAGAGTGGTCATTCAATGTCATTACTATTATTATCATAATTATGCTGTCAACGCATCAAATATCCCCTAATTCTGTATAGTAAGAGTCTACACAGGCTGCTGCTAGACTCTGTTGTTGGTTGTCGGTTATTTTTCCCAACTTCCATCCCACCCGTTGGTGAAACCATCAAACGATTCATGACAGGTCTTGATAGCCTAAAATGCAGCTCATGTCACAATGCAAAGAATCCTTTTGAAAAACTGTGCAACAAAAGCCAATATGTATGAACGAGTAAGTGACTATTGAAATAATTACGAAGGATACGGCTCTACAAGGAAGACAAGGAGTATAAATTCTATATGTGCCTTTTTTTTTTCAAGAAAAGAAACAACGTACATTCAAACAGACTCTAGAATAAGAAGAACATTTTCAAGACCAAATTATCAACATTCATGAATCTATGAGTTGGTCAAGAGTTGTGGAAATCGTCCCATCATCTTAACTAAACAGGAAACCTTTTCTCTTTATTTTGGAAGAAACATAAATGAATGTCACGCCATGAGAAAGTTTCGACTTGAAGCTGTGAGTCGCAAAATGGGCACAACAGTTATTGGGAGCCTTTTCAATGGAAACGCTACATTACGTCATTTTGTCATTCAAGTCACTCTTTCAAACTTTAAAGTAAATTATATAACGGAAAAATATATTGAACCGCAAACCATTTGTATTTATCCTCCTTAAATACTGACTTGACCTAATTGCTTTCATTTACGGCCGTCATATTAATAACAGCTGAACTAGTGCCAGGGGACAGTCGAAATGTCGCGATCCACATCGGAAGTGAATACATCGCTAGATAGACAACTATCATTTACTACCAAGTTTAATCACCACAATTAATAACCACAACCTTTTCTACAATTGTTTCCTCAGGACAGTCATGCATAGAAAAAAAAGAGGACAAACATATCGCATTCATCAAAGGGACGCAGAGGGTTAATCGTAAAATTGCAAAACAGTTTGGCTCTAAGGCGTAAAAACTCGTACAAAAAATTAACCGTAAAAATTATACTATTAAATTATATCATCTTTGTCTTGTCTTGTGGCAAACGAGGCAAAACCGGAAAATTACTTAGTATCAATCCAAAGGCGACTCGATCTGGAGTACTTCTTATTGTTTTACTCTTATAGTGAAAGGGTATCCAGTCGTTGCTTACCCACGGTAGTTTCGTACCTAGTCGATTCGTATCCAAATTCAGCCGATTCGGTTCGTACCAGAGCCACTGGTCAATTCTTACCCGTTCAAAATATAAGTTTATTCGAAATACCTCACTCGCACTTGTCAGATGTCGTGTATGACAAATTCATAAATTCAAGCGAGTAAGATTCAAGGAAAAATTCCGTTGTGTATACTTGTCACCCTTTTAACACAAACACTAAATCGTTGCCTATTTTCGTTTAATCTAAACAAGCGGGCGCGTAACTTTTTCCAAGCGATTGTAATTTTATGTATTATTTGTCAAAAATTCTGTTAACCCTGACAGAAATAAATTGACTGTTAGCTCTAGAATGGTCAAAATTGTAATCATTGGTCGTAAAAGCCTTCACCCCGATAAGACCCTTACATTAAGTTGAAAATGGATAACATATCTCATTATGCGTTCGCCTTATAATTTCCGTGAATCAAATTAACGATTTCGTGCTTTTTCTTTAAATTACGTTGATTTTTGTGTTGCATTTTTTTGGTTAGATTTGATGTTTTTCTTTTATGTTGATTTGTTTATGTGTATGGTTTTTTTTTTTCAAATGATGCGTCGAGTTTTGGTTCTTCATGGCACTCACCACATTTGCACCCTCACTTAAACCCTGCATTGAGTCATCTGTTCCCGTTAATAGATAGAAGAGAGTGGAACTTGCCGTACTGAACCCATTCTTCCTTAGAGTAGAAAAAAATTGGTCCTTGGTATGATCTGCGTTCAGTTTTAGTGTTATAGATGAACTGCGAAGTGGCAGTTTTTCTTTTCCTCATAGACTTTGTAAAAGCCTGTCCGATCATAATGCAGCTGAGCCTCTTTTATTCGATGTGCTATGAAGTTTATGAAATTGTAACTACGGTTAGAAAGGTGATTTTATTTGTATCCAGCTAATTTCCTAACAAATGAACGTTTCGTTTTTTTCAGTTGAGCAAAATAGAAGAAAGCAATTTGGATAAAAGGAACGAAGAGATGACAGTTCCAAATTTATCCAATGTTGTTTAAAAGGATATATACATGTATTTTGAAAATTGATTAAAAACAGTTTTTAATTTTTCTTCTCAAGTTACTTTTTATGTTGTCAGGATAATTAGAAGTAATTGCCAGCCAAGAATTATTTACTCTTCAAAGAAAGTACAGGGCTAAAGGAAATGTTTTCTTCTAATCAGAAGAAACAAACTGCATATAGATATGGAAAGTCACCTGGTCATCGTGATAATTTAACTCAGCCTGGGGCATGAGTCTTTGATAATCCTTTGAAATGCACGCTTTTATGTAAAGTTAAAGCTCTTAAGCATCGAATTAGGTAATTTAATTTTTGTCCTAGAAGCCATTCCATTAAAGACTTTTAAATATGCTTGCTACGATCAAAAACTTAATTTACTATTTTCATTACAATTTTTTTTCGTTTTGAGAATGGTAGGAATTTTGTCTTCGCGTTTTTCGTTTGTGCTGTAAGTCTCATTAGAAGTGGAGCTGAGGATGAAAACATTCACTTAACTTAAGCAAGCGTTTTGATCAACAGTAAAGCATAGAAGTTTCTTATTAATATTCATCTGAATTCAATTATAGTACTAAGAAGTGCAGCGTCACTTGGTGATTTTAGAAGAGCACCA